CTAGGAAGCCACTCTGATTGTTGGTACCTCCACACATTCCAACCCCTGACAATGGGAGTTTTACTTTTTATCTTATTGTAACCATGTGTATATGGTTCAGAATGGCCTGGCCATTCACATGCTACAAAGGCCATGAAGAAGCCATGTACCAGTTGGAATGCTCTTCTTCACAGCCTCCCTATATAGATATTGGAAAAGCTAGACTCCAGTTAGCAAAGATGCAGCCATGGCTTCCAACTGAGACCTATTGTGTTTTTCTTCCAAGTGAGCAGAAGCAAATAACACATGTCCCAACCCTAGGATGTAGCTTTCCAGAGGAAAAATCCTCCTTCTTCCAACCTGGTAGCTTCAAAACATTATTGAAAAGCTGGTGTTTTCTAGAGCACCAAGGGGAACTGTGAGAATCCAGTCTCTGATGTTCAACATTAAAGAGCTCTTGCAATCCTAAAACACTGAGGCTGTACTCTGCCCAGCAGAGCTTGATGGCAAGTGAGGAATGGAGTGATGAGTCATTATTCCCTAAACTGCTCACCTGCAACAGATGGGGGGGGACCTTATTTAAACATGGAAATTGGCTACGTTCGGTGCTCAACTCTTCTTGACCTATGAACAGCGCTCTTAAACCACAACTGAACTCTTGGGCTCATATAAAGGCTGGAATCCCTAATCCTACAGCAGTCATTTTTAGTTACCTTTTGCCAGTAGCACAATATGCTCACAAACTATTGATCAGTGAAGGGTGGTTCTCAAAAAAATCCTATATTGAAGTCACTAGGGAGTTTGCAGTAATATTTGACCAAGGAGCCCAACAAGAGTAATTTTCCAATTTGTTCCAAGACTAAAGTTGGTTCATATGCTCAGCAGAGAAGATTACATTTTCCTGGAGTCATTATGGGAAGCTATTTATCTTTAAATAGGCGGTTGTCACAAGCCACCATGCTTTTTTCTGAATACATAGTGCTTGTAATGCTCTTTCAGAATCTTTATAGTTATATCCCTGGCTAAATGACTCACCTTTTACCAAATTTTCCTATGGTATATCTACAACCTGGCCCTTGTTGTGAGAGTCTGAAGTCTGAATGATATGGAATCATGCCGTGCCAAGAGGGACTTGTTTCAGGGAGGTGTCAGGTGACTGTTGAGAACCTGAAGAACTTTTGGCTTCTTCAGGATGCAACAAGGCCCAAGCATAGATAGTGCTTTGTAGAAGGTGCTTAATGCTGCAATCCTATACATATTTTCCTGGATAATAAGTCTAACTGAAATTAATGTAGCTTACTTCAGAGCAGGTGTGTATCAGATTGCACCAAGCTTTAAATACGCTTACCAAAATGATGCCACCATGCCCAAAATGCACATTAATTTAATTGCAAGTGTGGAGATTGCAATGAACACATTTGAGCAAGGGATGCTGTCAATTCTCCTTTCCCCTGGAAGCACCCTTTTTACCCTTCAGGCAATTATCACAATAATGGTCAAAAGAAATATACAACTACATCACTTATTTCCCTAACTTCACTTTCTCATCCATCAGGACATACTAAAAACCCACACAAGATACGGCAGCAACTCAGTTAAAGGAATTTTGAATCAGTGTACATTTCATTCAACAGGTGGAATTGGCATTCCTGCATCAAGAAGAGATGATGCAGGAATGAGTGTCATTGCAGGCATCATCTCAGAGGAAACACCCTTCCTGTGTAGGAGAGGACGGAGAACATCTCTTTTGGAACTTAATCCGGACAAAATGAACATGCTGTGGACTGTGAAATCTGCAAATCTGGATGGTGGTACACAGCTGGTAGGGGACGCGGGTGGCGCTGTGGGTAAAAGCCTCAGCGCCTAGGGCTTGCCGATCGAAAGGTCGGCGGTTCGAATCCCCGTGGCGGGGTGCGCTCCCGTTGCTCGGTCCCAGCGCCTGCCAACCTAGCAGTTCGAAAGCACCCCTGGGTGCAAGTAGATAAATAGGGACCGCTTACTGGCGGGAAGGTAAACGGCGTTTCCGTGTGCTGCGCTGGCTCGCCAGATGCAGCTTTGTCACGCTGGCCACGTGACCCGGAAGTGTCTCCGGACAGCGCTGGCCCTCGGCCTCTTGAGTGAGATGGGCGCACAACCCTAGAGTCTGTCAAGACTGGCCCGTACGGCCAGGGGTACCTTTACCTTTTTACACAGCTGGTAGTGGATGGCATTGCATTCTACCTAAAGGTCCAAGTACCAGAGTCTGGCCTATAGGTTAGCTGTTCACTTCTGGGGTGAATTTAAGGTTCTGCTATGCTATTAACCTTTTAAATGCCTAAACGGTTTGGGACCAGGCTATCTCAAGGACTACCTGCATCCATGTGTCCTTGCCTGAGCTTTAAGATCAGCATGTGAAGTCCTATTCTCCAATACATGGCAAAAGTTATTAGGTTTCTGGGTACTCAGGACAGGATAAACCCTTTTCTGTTGTGGTCCTGTATCCTTGGAATAGCCTCCTCATGGAAATACATGTGGCCTCATCTCTCTTGGCCTTTAGGAAAGCAGGTCTACATTTGGGTGTTTCTATGGTTCCTTTACGTAAGAACTGTTTGTTTCATCTCTTGCTGCTATTTTTGTTCTGTCACTTATGGCTATATTTGAAATGTTAATGTTGTAGTGTCTTAATATTGTCTGTAATCCACCTTAGGAGAGTAGGCACCCTAAAGGCCAAGGTTCAAAAAACCCTATTTAAATAATAATAAAAAGAAACAGAATGCTTCTTTTGAGATGGTGCTTGCCATCTGCACTATATAATATAATCTGTTGCATGATTGATTGAGGGCACAATTTTTAGTCAATTAAAAGTATTTTAATTGATTACTCTAGCTGTTCAATTAAGCACTGCATCCCTCCTACATACACCCTCCATTATAACACTAGGCTTGATATCCATCACTATGTGATATCAAATTTCCTTTGTACCATTATTTCTTCAGCGGGACATGAAAGCTCATCAATACTACAAGAGAGACTTAACAGGTCACAAACATTCAGTACAAAGGAGCCATAGTGAGTTGCTTGCAAATTAAGAATGAGTCCAGAGACTAGCAAACTGAAAGTATATTGCCTCTCTCATTTTTCTTTTCTCATTTCAGCACATCTGAATAGGGCATGTTGTGAACATAGCAGTCCATGCATTCTAAAAGCTAAATCCTGCCAATAATCACTTCTGGGATGTGAATGAATAGTGGGGTCCATAAGAGAGCTTCTCACCATCCTCTACCATAGGTAGTAACTGCTAAACTCTTCTCCTCATGCCCACCCCTTACTGATTTACAGTAAATAAATAATCCTGCTATAGAACAGGAAGCAGTTCACTATTGCCCATCAGTGCTGTTTGCATCACCTTTTGTTAGGTGGGGCAAGCAAGGATATATTTCATGTTGGGATGCTTCGAATCATGAAAACACAATTCCTGCTTCTTTGCCTAAGCCCAGATAAAATTTCCACACTGCATTTTGTTTCTAAGACACCATGCTTAGGAAGAAGCCTGATTTACTGAGTGTATGCCTACCTCTAAGCATCTCAGACCAAAATAAAGCTAAACTTTTTTTAATTAAAAAAAACAGGTGTTTTTTTAATAAATGGCAATGCCTTCTGATGACACTTCCAAACTGAACAGAAACACATGACCAAACATAACAAACCAAGCTTCTTATATTGGCATCATTTCTGTGTTAGAAACTACCCGTTCACAACATCATTTTTGAAGCAGATGTGCCTATTACTTCATGCTAATCGGATACAAATTGTGGCCTCGCAGAATTTACAAAAATAGCCAAAAAGATGCATGTTTCCTCCATGTAATTTCATCCATCAAAATGATACCAGATCTAGGAAACCTATCGTGTGTAAAGCAACCTTATAAGTAAGACCAAGCTGCACATCCAACTTTTAACCAAGGTGGGAGGAAAATGTTGATAGCCGGGGCAGGGAATGTTTGTAATTGATTCAAAGCATTGGGTTGTAGCCAATGGATTGGTACCGTTCTTGCAATGACTTGCACCTGCACAACAAGACTTCATCTTCCTCCCCCCACCTGCTGATACCTTTAAGAATTCTTCTTAAAACAAATGCATGGTATTTTTTCCCCAATGTGGTGCCCTCAATATGCTTTTGGACGCCACTTGGCATCTTCTCTGGCTGCAACATCTGCAGGGCACCAGAGTGGCTACCCCGTCTTCTAGGGATTATGATAAGGCACATTAAAAAAATTCTTTTCTGGAGTTGCATCACGCTTGGAAGTAGCCCATGAACTGTCCTCTTCCTAGGGCATGTTTACACTACAGAGTCCCTTAGACCAGTTTAATAGGAATTCCTTATCTCTAGGGAATTGTAGGACCCATAGTTCTGGAGGGAGGGCACTGGGAATCTCTCAGAATTTGCAGCATCCTCAAGAAATTATGTATTTTGGATGGTTTGGGCAGGCTGTAACAATTTTACTGATATGACACCTATGGGTTATCTCCAGCAACGTTGCCCAGTTAGTATAAAGAGAGTCAGAAGAGCAATGGGACTTCCTTCCCCGTCTGCAAAAAAACCACACCCAACAAACCTGTTCTGGGGTTTCCCCTCAACCCTCTGGAGCAGATCTGAAGTTGTGCTGAAAGAGAGGGAGGAGATGTTCCACTGCTCAAGCAGCAACCCTTGCACCAATGGACAATTTTATTGGATGCAATCCAATATAAATTTTGGATATACCCTATCTGCAGATCTTTTTGAACAGTCAGGATTTGTCTAGTTTTCCCCAATCTTTAAAACAAATGGGTCATTCACTAGTTGCCTGCTTACACTGGGCAAATCTATCTGCCTTTTCTTTCAGGGCTGTCCACAACCATTTAGTAACATCGCTGAGCATTGTGTGTACAGTATATCTTGTAGAAGACCCAGGCCATATGGGTGGCTTTTTATTTAGATGAATAACTCCCCCTTTATTGAGCAGATTTCTTCAGGAGCAAATAGTGATCAGTGAGACAGACCCCTTTCCCTGTTGCAGCAACTGAAGAAAATTTAATAAGACCTGAAAACTACAAGCTTATCAACCGTTCTTTTAAAGGCTAAGAGCTATACCATTTTGTACAGCTTCAGAATAAAGCATCATTAAAGACATAATACAGTACTTGATGGCTGTTTTTCCACAACAAAATGAAAAGCTGATCAGAAACGTTTTTGCAACACTTGCCTGAAAAATCAAAACACAAAGACCAAACAAAAAGAGACAATGATTAGAAGTCTACACAAATACCTATGCACTAGCAGCTACAGAAGCAGTTTAGCAGTATAATCCTACACGTTTACTTAAAAGTAGGTTCCATTGAATTCAATGAGGCGTACTTCCAGGTAAGTGAGTACAGGATCACAGCCTAAATGTTACACCATGAATCTGGCAATTATCTTTTTAAAATAAAATCCACAGGGTTGGGGTTTCCCCCCCTTCTTTCTTCATAAAAATAGATTTTACAATGAGACCTTCCTTACAGGATAAACGTATTTTTAAAATTGATATTCCTTTAGATATGCCTTCCAATATTGCCCTTCAAAGGAGGACAACTTGTTTTACAAATGCATAAAAATATAGAGAGTTTTTTAGGAGAGGCTGTAAATGATGCAAGAATTGGGAATATGCTACTGCAACCATCAACAACACAGCAACGTACAACCTTGTGGTGGGCTAGTTTTAACAGACAGCAGCTCTGGAATACAGAGGAATTTAAACAATGCAACTTTGGCTGAAGGAAGGGAGCATCACAAAATCTAGAATGTGTTGGGGTGGAGGGTTAAGACCCACTGAGCCATTAAAAAAAAAGATTCAAAACACTGTTATGAAGAATAATTCCATGAGACACAGATAAAGTGGTTGTAACTGCATATGCAGTTGTGACTAATCTACAGCACACACACACACACACACACACACACACACACATTCTTCCCCATATCCTTGGGTTTTTTTGTGTGCACTCTTGGCTGTGCAGCAATTCTGGATAATGATTTATATCCATAATGCAAAATTGGGCCATTCACTTTTTACTGGGTGAAAGAAAGCTTTGCACCTGAATTCTCTCACACACCCTCTGATTATATAAGCTAAGCTGGTCTGATTTTTTTACTTTTGTTTTTATATATATATAAAGTGGTGTAACTTAGCATACCATGCTTTGCTAAAAGCAGTTTATCTTTTATAAGATTAGTCAATACAACAGATTCCAATGTATTCCAGTGCAGGAGGAGGTAGCCTGTTCTAAAGCAATCCCTTCAAGGCAAATAAGAAATAAAATAGAAAAAAATCCAAAGTGGAACTTGGAAGTAAATGAATCCAGCCATAAAAGGATGTGAAGAGCTCAGTAGCTGTGTCAGCTATTCAAGTAACACTGCAGGATTCAGTTGTGTTGGGAGAAAACCAACTTGTTGCCACTAATATGTAGAGCACTGTTAACAATAAAAACTGCCTAGCAACTTAGCAATACACATAACAAAACAAAACAGGAGCAATGGAGGCGATATGAGGTCAACTGTATAAATGGCAGGAGTGGTTTTCCAACTGTCTACCATGCAGAAACTTTTTCTACCTTTTATTCAGCTACCCCTGCATATATACTCTGTAAGCCCGTGGCCTTGCAAAAAAGGGGGGGTCCAGGGCACATTCTAGGGTGCACATCCAATTCAACAGTGCACTTGGCCTGGCATGAACTGAGAGTGCACCCTCGACAACACCCAGCTCTGCACTGTAATTGTGGGCAAGCTGACGTTGGCCCTCTTGTTATAGGCCTTCCCCCTGAAAAGCTCATGGCAGCCTTCTGAGGAACAGGGTTTCCTAAAATAAAAGTTGAAAAAGTACCATGCTGGCAGGTTATGTTGCAAAGGTTTAAAAATAAGAAAGTTCAATCCACTGTGTTTGTTTGTTTGTTTGTTTGTTTGTTTGTTTGTTTGTTTGTTTTAAAAAATCATGCATTAATATATTTTCTTTTCCCACCTTAATCCCATGAGCCATTGCACAGGGAAATAAATGTTTAGGATGGGTGGAGTGCAATAACTGCTGTGCCAGCAATTTGCTTTCCACAAACAATGATCCTGCAAGAAGTGCTAGGAGGCTGTAACAGCACAAGGGCATGTTATTTGCCTCTAGTGTCAAGATTGCTAGTGCACAACACAGGTATCAGAGACATGGCAGGTGTAGCACTGGATCTTCTTTATCTTTGTGGCTGCCCAGAAAGGCTCCCTTCTCCAGAGCCAGCCACACAGGTACAACTGAATGGGCTGGTATTAACTTCTTATCATGGAGCAGCAACTGGTAGGTGACACAGCTGCTTGGATTTGCCAAGCATAGGGTAGACATCACAGTGCAAGTTACTACACACAGCTGCAGCCGCTCAAAACTTCTAAGTTCAAGCTGTTCAGGCTGTTCACAAACTACAGGTGAGATAAAACAAATGAATGGGGGGAGAGGGACTTGCAGTTGCCTGCAGAGTTCTCCAAAATATGGAAGAAACAAAAACTGTAAATGTCTTTCCCCGTGTTAGTATTTTACAGCGCCCTCTCTCTCCACCCTAGCCTTTCAAATGCAGTAAAATGATTTTAGATGCCCATTCCAAACTCAGTTTAACAAAACAGTAACAGAGTGGGGTTTTTAATAATAATTAAAAAAATCAAATGAAGTCATGTTTATACTTTTACAGTATCTTTTTTCAAAGAAAGTGCCAATACACTATATCAAAACACATATTTGAAGGAGCTTTGGATCAGGCGTCACTTCCTCCTTTTTCTTTCTGATGTGCATCTGCAGGTAATTTTGTTTGCATTTTATGTAGAAAATCACAGTTCTTGTTGCATCCCCCCCCAAGGATGAACAAACACGCACACACACACACACACACACACACACACATATATAACCATAATTTGTGAACACTGTACACTAAATATTTCTTTTCAACAGCATGACAGGCATTGGGCTTATGGCAGCAGGTGTGAATAATGTGCAGGGTCTGAAATCTAGGGGTGTCATATAAGCAGCCTCAGACACAAGACAGGTTGACTGCACCTTCCCACAGGGTAAACTTAAGAGTATGTCATTTCAGAGTAATGGGGCAGTTAGTATTTTGAGGCTTATGATGCTGGAGTTACCCTAAGTCCAACTCACACAAAACGACGCAGCCACTTTGGTGGCAAACCTCCTGAACACCAACACTGTTCAAATTAAAAGGGGGGAAAAGTTGTTGTTGTTTTTCAACCTGTCTTTCTTTATTACCTATATATTTGATAACAACACTTTGAATTCAATGTACTTCTAAAAGCTTGTTTTCTGTGAAGAATCCAACCTTTAGGCTTCTCTTCCCTTTAAAATTCTCTCTATTACTTTTAGACTTTCCCCAGGGCAAGAGGGAGAGAGGAAACACCTCTGCTTTCTCAATGCAGAGAAGCCACCTAGAAGCCTCAGGACCTCACTGCACCCGCTCAGTGAAATTCTCTGGGAAAACTCCTCGGCATTGGTCAAGTTCTTTGTGCTGAAGCCAATCGGATTCTTTCACACCCATCAGCCATCCTTCATCCTGCCAGGGAGAGAAAGGGAAAGACAGACAAAAGGTTTATACAGAGTGAAAAACAAGCAGGAGGGCAGCCTAGGACTCTTAGGCCGCTGATCACAACCTTGAGCAAACAAGGCAATCAGTTATTTATTGGTGATAAATTTGTTATCATCTATTATTGTGGTTTTGAAGAATCACTGTGCTGCTTTTGCATACATTTGAGCTTTCACTGAATTTTTCACATTTTCCTCCTCATGGGTATATATACCTGTCAGCCGAGGACAACACTCCATGCATCTGAAGAAGTGAACTCTAGGTCATGAAAGGTAACAGCACAATACATTTGCTAGTATTTGCTAGGGCACTAGAAGATTCTGTTATTATTTCTGGATACACTGGGTTGTATCCAATGCTGTGCAAGCAGAGTTCCGCTTATGCAACTGGACTTCCTCTTCCCTCTAGGAGCACCCAAAATCTGCTCTGGCGGTTCCCACAATTCTCTGGAGTAGATTCAGTGATGCACAAGGAGTTTTCAAGCAGAAGTCTGTTGCGCGAGCAGAACAGCAGAGCTTAATATGACCTATTATGTTTCCTAAGCTCCATTGATTTTGGTTTTTTGCCTGTCTTGAAATTTGCATTTGACAAATTCAAGCCTTATCTGAAGATGAATGTACTTAGCTGCACATGTAAGGTCCTGCCCACCTGTCAACGTTGACCCACAGAGGATGGGGGAATTAGGGATCCAGCCTGCTGCCTAAATCTAGTTCCCCACTCCTGCTCTAAAGTCACTTAGGAGCTAACTACAATAGAGAAGAGAAGACATTTTTAAAGGTGCTATTTGCTAAGAAGAGCTATTCCTAATCCATTATCACTTTAGGAAGAGAGCTTGTCTATGAACAAAATAAAACACTCTCTCTCTCTTTCAACACAATGGGATCTCCTAGGAAGCTGTTATTGTGAAAAACTGAATATGATTACATCTTGGTCATTTCCACTCATGAGGTACAAAGTGGCTCTTGCATCAAGAGTATCTAAAGGCTATTGAGGCCTTGCATAAGACAATGTCCATTGTTTGCATAAGGCACTCAAGAAACAGGACTGAATGCTTCCGGTTTCTAGAGTGCTCTGATCTGCTAGTGATGGTGACACACAAGAGGCACATAGGGTTGTGAGGGATTGAAGACTCACTACTATTTTTGCGGCAGGGTCCCACTCTCCAGCACCCAGGAGCCACCCAATCACAACATGATTTAGCCACTGAGAAGAAGTCTTCTCACCCTTTGTGCTGATTGGAGCCAATCAGAGGAGACGTTTGAAAGTAAGGAAGAGGTGTCTTTGTAAGGAGCTAGCAGGGCCTTTCAGACAGCTTTGTAGGCTTCAGCTGGCTTGTGGGCGGCAGGCTGGCCACCCCTGCTCTATACTAATCCTTTCAAAGAATCAAGCAGACAGTTACTTCAGAGATTCTGGTTTTGCAAGACATCATCTCCATTCATCTGCTAGCTGCTTGAAGGTCACACACACAGGAGAACAGGGTTTTCAAAAGAAGTCTTTCTGGTTGAAATCCAGTGTTGTACATGCTATATGACACTGGTATGTGAAGCAAAAAAAGATGATGATAAATCCCACATGCTCTCCTTACCTGCTCCTCCGGGTTGTCAAATGGAATCACCAGGACAACATCTCCAGCCTTCAGTTGTAACTCATCACTGTCAGTGGCTGCATAGTCATGCATGGCTTGTGCCTGCAAAGAAATAATGACTCCAGTGAAGGGAGAGAGCTTGCTCCAATTCATGAAGAAGGGGTGATGCATACAGCTCCTGCCCACTTTTACCCAAACCAACAAGTGAGAACATGATTATCTATCTGCTATCCCACCTCCTCTTGTCCTGCAAAGTTATTGTTTTGTTTGCTAATATGTTTTGTATTTCTGTGTTTTTATATTGTAAGCCCCACTGTGATCCTTAAACAAATGACATTATAGACATTTAATAAATAAAAATAAAATAAATTTGAACCACAGAAGCTCTATGGTAGGATGATTTTCTCCGAAGGGTGTAAAGGAGGGGAGACACAACTGGTTGTTTTCTTTTGGTTATTTCACCAAATAAGTTAGAAAAAGAGATGCCAGGGACAGTGCTTGAATTATAAGGGGGCAGAAATGGTCCAGCTCATGTATCTTTTGTGACAGTCCTCTATGCTACTATGAAGGCTATGTTTTTGGCTAACATTGAGGAAACAACAGATCCTAACTTGTTGGAAGCCACCCATACTATGGTGCACAAGGTTTCTCGGTGCACTAAATGATGCTTGATCCTGTCTCTTCCCTTTGCTCTTCACTTAACTGACAAGGAAACACAAATTCATTTTAATGGACATTGGTGTGGAATGTGTGCCCGGCTGAGGTTAATGTTCTTCCTCACACTCACCTTAAACAGGAAACCTGGTGGCATGTCAGCCCTTTCGGAAGCGGCTCCACTTTCAACTGTTCCATTGACTGTGGCTGGGAAGGTCTCCACAACTACAGCAGGCAGAGAGCTCTAAGCATAGCAGTGAAGGGAGGCAAAGAAAACACAACAAGGAACACTTGAAACAAGACACTTGGCAAAATGAGACCCCACTGCACTAAACTGGTTCACCCCATTATTCAAAAATCCAGCGCCAATGTATTGCGTGTTTTTCCTCCACCACGTGGATGTTACAATTTATGGCCCAGAGTAGCCATTAAGTGAAGAGAATGACTCATGAGAAGATGGGAATTTTAAAAAGGGAATCACAGACAGTGGCAAATATTAGAGGGGAAATCAGGGTGGTATAAAGATTATGGAACACACAGCAGGTGTCTGTCACAAGGGTGAGAGGAGATATAGGTTCATAGTAAGAGGCAGAAGCTCTTCTAAATCTTTTTTATTCCCTTTCCTTGATCTGAAATTGCTACCTGTCTTCTTCTTGATAGCCTCTGACCTCTACGTCCTCAGCATCATTTTCATGAACAAGAACTAACAACTCAGTGACCTTGTAAGAGCAACAAATTTGATGCCTCTGGCCAAATTTCTTAACAGAGCCAGACATGGTGAGAAAGTGGAATCAAAACTTAGGGAGGGGAAATGATAAAGGGTTCTGTGCTTTTAGCCGTCATGGTTTGCCTGGAGGGATCTGTCAGAGCAACAAAGGCTGTTGGACAACATGAAAGAGCCAGGGTGGTGATTAACTGGGACTGGGGAGAAAAGTGGAGATATTCTTTCTGACTCAGACCACTTGCAACTGCTGCTGCTACATGCTTAGCTGTTTGCATCAAAGGGGAGATTTTTCTTCTGGAAGACCACCTGCAGATAATTAAAGGGCTTTGTTCAACAGTCACAACCCAGCAAATTGGGCCCCTCCATCAAGGATTCTGTACTACTTGAAGAACATAAGCTACAACAGTGTCGCTTTGATGGGTTCCCATCTGACTGAGTTAAGTGAAACAGTGGTTATACAGTATATTGTGTGCCAGCAACATGGGAGAAAGAGATCCCACCGCCGCCACCCCTCTCCCTTGCCTATGGTCTTACTGAGGCAGATCCTGAGTCAGTTTCGGTTTTAGCTGCTTCAGCTCCAGCTGCTGCTGCTTCTTTGCCAGCTGCCTCAGCACCAGCAGGAGCGGCTTCTGTGGGCTGCAACACAAAAGCCAGTTAAACTCCTGGAACCCCAGCATGCCCAGGAGAGCATGACCTGCCACATCTTTAGGACTTGCCAGAATTATGAGCATCTGCAGCTCAGTGCTGAGCGGAGTTTGAGTCCTTAGCTGGACTGCAGCACCCACACTGTTAAAACAGTCAGGTATCGGCACCAGTTGGGTATCCCAAGTTCATGTGTTGGCACAGATCCAAGCTGCACAACTTTGAGGAAGAGCAAATGACCCTGGGCTGGAATGTAGCCTGGAGCTCATTGAGTTAGCTGCTTATTAAGTCTTTGTGGTTGCGCTATGTGGGTCAGTCTCACCCATCTCAGATATTTTTCATGAGTCAAGTTTAAAGGAGGTACACCTTTGAGGGGTTTCCTGCACTATTTGCGTTAAATCGGATCCTCTTCACGGAGGGTACGCATTGCGATCGAACCTCCAAGCATCTCCCATCTGCTGGGGTGGGCAGAGCTATGCCCTGCTCCATGCTCGTTGGTCGTTTTGCATGTTTCCTGGACCCTAAAGCCAATGGCGTGGCTTAGGGGGTGGCTGAAAACTTTATGTCCTGCGTGTTGTTTGCTGGTCCTCTTTGCCTTCGCACAGAGGAATGCCCACCCACCCGCCCTTTATCTTGGTGCACTTGGCCTTGCTATGGACTTTGTTGGTCACCTGTTTTGCAACAGGGGCCTGCACTTCCATTTGGCAGATTGGCATGGCCATTTGGTTTTTGCCTACCACATAGCAATTGTAAGGTTTGGCGGTTAGGCATTGGATCAGTGATATGTGGGGAGGGGAGGGGTGGCCATCACCTGCCCCTCCAAGGTTAAGGGTATTCCGTTAAAGGAATCAGGGGTTGGCCTGGGTCTTGTCCAAAAGCCCATGGTAGGAGCTAGGGCCATACCAGGACCCCACGGAGACACCGAGGTAGCTCAAGATGGTCCTCACTGGCAGGGCTCCCTCTGGCGGTGTTTCACCCTTTTATCAGATTCCCCGCGAAGCAGATGGGAGTCTGATATAGTCTGGTGAATCCAATGCCTAAGCCAATACCACTTACATTCTATATTTAATAAAGTTGTGGTCTAAATTTTGCCAATAACTTAAACTAAAATCCTGTGTTACTGTATCTTCATTTGGGGGGGTATGTTTGGGGGTTTTGAAGCGCAACTTGGGTTATGAAAATGATCCAGCTAATGAAGGTTTTGCATTTGCATTACAAAGCAGCTTGAAGCAAGAGCTATTTAAAAGCCTCACATTTGAAAACAACCTCATGTTCTCAAGTTTTCCAGTGCTGACCCTGTCTTTTGCCACATAAGCCAACAGTGTGCCCAGAAGGTTCTCTCTTCCGCATGATTGCATAGTTTCTACCGTTTCTTTTATGGCTGCAAAAACTGCTGTATCTCTTCATACAGTTGCATAGCTTCAAAAACTGACGCACTTCACCTTGAGTAAAACGTTTGAACGTGGCTGACAAAATTCTTGCTTGCAGGACTAGGAAAGGAAAGTCTGATGAAGTCTGGCAGTGAGCTTCCTAATAACAGCAGACCCTTATAACAACAGAACAACAGAAGCTGTCTTTTGGACCAAAGTCAACTGGTCACCAAGTTCACTGTTCTAAGTCAGCAGCAGTTAAAATAATAGACCATCAGATCAGATATGAAGATGGCATACACCCTGCTGAACAGTTATACCACATAAGGCTGTGCAGAGTTAGCAGCATATAGTGAGAATCAATGCTATCAAAGACTGCCACCACCTGGCCACTGAAGAAGAGACTAGTGAGAACCCATCCAATTTCCTACCTCTCAGCAGTTAATCAATAGGAATTACATGCATCTCAATCTTACAGTAAGGCTGCATTCACGCAGCAGTTTATTATATTTTCCCTGTGTTTCCTAGTTGATTTCTGCCATATATTTTAACTTTCAGGTGACATAAAAACTGTTTCCAGAAATAAAGCAGACTATAACACAAGTTTAGCACTCATTTCTAGAAGAAAAAAAATCCATTTGCAAATAACGCAGAAATGAGCTCTAAACTCAAGCTACATTCCACTCTGTTTCCGGAAGTGTCTTTAACGTTGTGTGAAAGCTGGAATATAAAGCAGAAATTTATGTTAGGGAAATGTCAGGAAAACAAAATAAACTGCCATGTGAATGCAGGCTAAGAAACATTTATCAGAGATTAAAACCAAAAAAGATTGATAATGGAGCCTATGGAACAGAGGACCTGACTTGCTGAAAGGTTCACCTACTGAAGTGAACAGTTCCAAAATGCTATTTAAGGTGCTTTTTGGCTTCTCTCCTACCATTTGCATTCATTTGTTAAAGATAGAAGTGCAGTTTTCAATGCATTTACATGAAGTTTCAAAAAACGATTGCCTTGAAGGATGGTGAATATACAAATCATATTTCTGTCTTCCTGCCTTTCCCCCCTTTCATCTATGAACAGAAGCTCTGCAACTGAAGTACATTTTTTTCCTTCCTCCTTTTTTTCCATGGCTGCCCCCTTCCCCACATCTCTGGGGAAACTGATAAGATCAGGGAAATCTTTGTTGATGTTACCAACATTTCTTTTCTTCAGAAGAATAAAATATGGGGGTATAAAAAAATAATGATTATTCTTTTTTTATAATAATAATAATAATAATAATAATAATAATAATAATAATAATACCACTACCCATTAGTGAAATAGATAAGGCTTTCTTCTGGGCTTGTCATTTTCATGCTGACCCAAATGTATATTATTTATCTACATAGTGGAATATGAGGGAAATGGCAGTGGCACAGGTGGGTAGGTAATGTAGAAAGGAATATTATGCACATCATTAAAGCTGCCCATTCTATCTTCCAGTGTATGAATGAACACTCATCACATTTCCTTTTAGTCCACAAGGGCTTTAAGAACATATGCCACTTGCCACCATTAATTGAAACTTACATATTGGCAATTTAGGATAAGTAAAATCACATCCAAGTGTTGCTCTCAAAAGGTTTCCAGTACGGATCTCTGCACTAAACAACTTGACTAGCCATTGTCCAAGATGGCACTATTCCTAATAGGCCTCTTCAGAGAAGTCATTATAGAGTCTTCTTGTTGAAACACTACAATGGAACTGGCACAAAGCTAACTGAACTGGCTATATATTGAACTAGAATATATAGGAGCAAAGAAGATACAGGCACTGTTTAAGTGTTCTTACAAAGCCACATGCTACATAAAGGCAACATGATGCAGGATAGATATGCTCTGATGCACAAGACTGAGAGAGTCTAGTATTGAAAGGGCATTCCAAAACCCTTTTAGTAATCTATTATTTTACATTGAAACTGCAACTATTTCTGTTTAGCTTCCATATGAAGACCCTTGCTGAATCTGACCAGTGGTCCATCATGTCAGGCATCCTGTTTCCCATTAGCCAATATGGGAAACCTACTGGTATATTCAGATTCTAGCCCCCTCCCAATGTTGCTCCCCAGTAGCTAATATTCAGAGATATACTATCTCTAAACCTGGAGGTTTCATATAGCAATCAAGGATTAGTCTTGATTGGTTTCTCAAATTAATGGTGTATTGTATGAATAAATATTTAATAATAATAATTCATATTAATAATTCTCCACCTGTCCCAAGGCTTCTGCCCATCAACATTGTCAAGTGATCCCAAGTATGATGAGGGAGAGAGACACACAGTACTCTCTATCCTGCTTCTCCACACCTTGCAAAATGTTCCCCATTAATTTTCTTTTTTCTAGACTACCAAGCCCCAGAAAATGCAGTCTTTTTTCCTAGTAGGGGAGGAATGAAACTTGCTAAGTGATAAATGCTCCAATTTTGCAAAAACATTATTGTCAGTGTGCAGAAAACGAAATCTCGCTAAAAGCACACCAGCTTATTCCAATGACTTCAGGAGAATCATACCAAAGAATACACACATATTCCACACTTGGTATAAATAATTGTGGGCCACACTCCATTAGAACAAAGCCACACACAAGGAACCAGTATGCATTCTGGCAACAGGGAAACTCAGCAATGCAGGATAAACAATGCCTAGGTAAAATTCTCACGATCTCCCCCTCACTCCCATCCCACATGCAGCAGGACATAGCAACCCTTGCTTTATTTGACACTTCGAACAGCAAAATCTCTCTTGAACAAATTAGGAATTGTTGAACTTAATAATAATAAGAAGAACAACAATATAATAATAATTTATTATTTATACCCTGCTTTACTATCGTGCCTAGGGAATGGGTAAATTCTAATTCCTTTGGAAGAGTGCTGGGTGCAACAGGTCATAAATTTGCCCCGGCCTAATGCATTCCAAAGAATAACAACTGAGTCAGGCTTGTGCTAGAGCACACCAGCCAGAACAAGACAATTTCAAATGTATGATCACTTCAAATACTTTCACTTACTTGGCTGATCTTAGTCTCAGTGGGCTGGTCAGGCCAGTCCACCTCGAACGCACTATTGCTAGGATTATCGGCCGGAAACTGATCCATAGATTGAACGCTGCTAGATGGAGTCTTTTCCGGCTGATGGGGAATTTGAAGGAGGGAGGAGAGAGAAACAGAGATGGGAGAAGATAGCAGTAGGCATGGTTACATGAAGATACAGATATGAGAAGAGTGCAGTGAGAAGTAAGACAGAGTAGACAATGAAATAATCCCAGGGTAAATAGAACTGTTGAACAGGTAAGAATCAAATGCGCCGTAATTTTGGATGGATCCTGGGGGGAAGGTGGGGTCAACATTACCCCCCTTGCAGATCT